GTGTACATGCGCTGCACAAAATCTCAAAAGAACACTTATTTTCTGAAAAGGTAAATATTTCATCTCCCATTGACATCCTGTTGTTGGCAATTATGAAATAAATTACTAATAATATAAAACTTTATTAAAAAGTTCAAGAGGACAGCAACTAACTTAGCAATCTGATCAGTTCTTTGAATGCAAGAAAGCCCGAATCAGCTATGGAGGTTTTCAACTCAACTCAGCCTCAAAATAATTTTGGCAAGAACAACTATGGTAGAATTTTGTTTGAACTCAGTTATTCTAAGCAAGATCTAAATGACTCGATTGCAATCTGCGTAATCCACGCTATTCTCTGCTTTACGGCGTTGCTCGGAAACACTGCCATTGTGATAACAATTTGGAAGACATCCTCTTTGCATTCGGCGACGAATATCTTACTGGCAAGTCTTGCTATCTCAGACCTTGCTGTTGGATTGCTTGAAGAGCCATTGTTTATAGCATACTTGCTCAGCGGAACATATAGTGTTGGCCTACTTTTTCACGTTTCCGCCTCCATTTTTTGTTCCAGTTCTTTTTTCACTATTACAGCAATTGCAGTCGACCGCTTGCTTGCTCTTCAGTTACATTTAAGATATCACAGCGTAGTAACACGTTCTCGTATCATTTTGTTAGTGAGTTTTATCTGGATCTTCTGTATTATTTTTCAAGCGGGAATCTGGGCTTCAAACCTACCTTATATCAGTGACATTCTCGCCTCTGCTGTTATCACCTGTGTGCTCTCTGCGAACTTTGTGATTTATTTCAAAATCAATCTAGTTATCCGTCATCATCAAAGACAGATTCAACATCAACAACCAGAAGCAAATAATGGAAACATTTTCAGTGTGAAAAGATTTAGAAAATCTGCTTTAAACTCCTTTCTTATATACATTGTTCTTCTCCTTTGCAACATGCCTCATTCAGTTGCCATCATAATGCATCTAACGGGGGTAACCACACCACCAGGTTTTTATATGGCAATAATTACGTTAATTTCCCTTAATTCATCTCTGAACCCTTTTTTGTTCTGCTGGCGGGATCGTGAAATCCGCGCAGCCATGAGGCAACTGTTCTGCCGAGGATTGTAACGCAACTTTTTGACGAATCACATCCCTGGAAGGATTTCGATTTTTCTTGAGAAGCCTAAGATAGAATTCGTTCTCGGGTTTACTGGCGGTAATAAGGTGTTATCAAACCAGTTTTATTGTTTGGTGCGGGTTATAAGCCCGGCAGGGGAACTCCTATATGAAAAGGNCTTACAAGTGCAAATTAATTCCAAATTAAACGAGAAAAACCACATGATTACTTATTAGTAATGTCAACATGAAAACATTCGCGCGGAGGAAGTGCCGGAAGATCTTTCTTGAAGTCATTTACGATGTGTAATTTGCATTGGTGTTACAATTTTTGCCCTGGCGTTACACTTGAACTGTACTGCTCTCAGCCAATCAGAATCGAGTAAATTTTTTAATGTATATTATTACTACAGTTAGAAAACTTTTCTCTGTAATTAGCGGTGCCTATTCAGATAGTTATGTGCTTGCTATCTTTGTCACACTGGAATTCGATCATGTGATTCACGTCGCCTACTTGCTAGATTGCCATTTTACAGGTATGTGCTTAGTCACCTGGCCTATGAATGCAAGTGAGGCTGGAGGTGACCTTGCTTTCATACAGACCTCTCTGCTTTTCTTATTTTAATTCAAACTAGTTGACATAAGAATAACTTGATTTACACGACTAAAGCAGTGAAGTCTGTATCAAAACGAGCGCACCTCCAGCCTTGCTGCCAGTCAAAGGCCAGGTCACTGAGCAAACAACTGTAAATGGTCTATTGATGGTTTTGTTTCAGCCATTTAATAGACACTTGTTGTTTTGTTATTTTCAAGCTAAATATGTAATGCCACCATTCAATTCCAAAAGGAAACACGAAAAATTAGTCAGTGCAGGTCGTGTTCACCAGAGTACGTTGAACCTGGTCATTTCACGTTATTGTTTTGGAGAGGACGGCAAAGAAATGTACAAAGATTTATAACACACGTGCACAGCCATTGTTCTACTCATTAAACCTTTTGTTTAATGGCGTTTTCGTTGCCGTTGGCGTCGTGGTCTGCTTAAGCTCCCTGTTTGCTTCGCCAAGGCTGACGGATTTAGACCAGGCGAAAGACAAACCAAGAAGAGATAACTTTGTATAGAAGGCATAGAAAGGAGATATCCTCAAAAGACGCCGTCATGGTAGCAAAGATATCAGTGACACCACCTATTGTTATTAATATGCCAACCAGAGAACTATTGGCTGGTGAAACAAAGAATTCTTTTGTTTGACGTTTTGAACATTTAAATGACAAAAAAAATGTTTGAAAAAAAATATATTTCCTATAGGAAAAGAACCTCAGTGACCAAGCATTGAATCCTTTGGTTTCAACAGGCAAATAGCGCAGTTTGGCTTTGCAGTTATGATGTAAGATAACGATTGAAATAGTACTTTGGAGAGATTTTAATATTTTTTCCTCCCTAGATTTTGCATTTGTATCTCTCCAATGCCCTTACATTGACGCTGAGATCAGATGAATGAACAAACAAGGTACGAAATCGACATTTATTACGTTGTTGTTGGGTTCGTTTATCATGAATATGTAAATTAACTAAGAATAATTCTCCTCACGTGAAATTTATATATTTGAATTGAACTGCGGAATAAAAATTTGTTAATGTATAAATCTTTATTCCGCAGTTCAAATTATACTCGACTGATCGGATCTTGCCTGATCCAAACCTCGTATCAAATAATTTCGCTCGCTCGTGCGCGATTGATCTAAACGCGTCACGTGACTAAATATGCCCCAGCTAAAACTGAGGAATATTCAAGTGATATTCTCCAATTTTCAAAAATTGCCCTTGTTCAAGAAATATTTCAAGGATAACATAAACGTAAACATAATAGCCTCCATTTGGCGCGAAAAAAGTTCGCGATATTTGTCCTAACCTTGGACATTATTTGTTCCTCGAAGTTCACAGTTTCCCTCGAGCTACGTTCTCGGAAAACTGTTCGCTTCTCAAAACAGATAGTGCCTGCGGACAAATATCCGAGCGTATTTTCCAGGAAAATGGAGGCTATTGTTTCTACACAACAGGGAAACTAGTGAACACACCATACATGAGATTTGAATGAGACTTCCAGTTTCTTCATAAAACCTCACAACAGGGCGAGCGAAAAACGACAGGTGTGTAACCAGACAGGATCCCGTAAAATATTTCCACTGCTATTGAAATCATTGTTAGCGGGGAAATAATCAGAAAGTCAATTAACTTCAGTGAAGATTGATTCATAATGTAAACCTAATCTAGCTTTTTCGATTTCATCAAACAAAAGCAATAAGACAAGGAAAGCAGCATTAAACAGCTTCATGAGGTGTCTTGGATGAAAACACGGTCAAATCAACCATGAAATTCAACTTTTCTCGACCTTTTAACAACACTGAAAAGAACAACTCTCACTCTGTTCAATTTGAACCAGATGAAAATTTTGACCAAGCTATGGCTTTCAGGATCGCAGTCAGCGTCGTCAATGCTTTTTCCTCCTTCACAGCGCTGTTAGGAAACTGTGTGATTCTAGTGACAATTTGGAAGACATCTTCTTTACATTCAGCGGCGAACATCCTACTGACCAGTCTTGCGGTATCGGACCTCGCTGTTGGCTTGCTCATCCAGCCCTTATTCGTTATAACAGTCATTCAAAGTGGAGCATCTACTTTCATTCTAGTTTTTAGTATTCTAGTGATTTTTTTCTATTGTGCGTCTTTTCTCACGGTTACAGCGATTTCAATCGATCGTTTGCTTGTCCTTCAGTTACACTTGAGATATCATGCAGTAGTGACAACATTTCGTGTCAATGGGGTCGTTATTTTTATTTGGATATTCTCTGGTGTTAGTTCGCTTCTGTTCTTTTTATCCTCAAGAATTTACATTATTTTACTTGCTATGATTATCAGCCTTCTTGCTGGAAACTTCGTTGTTTATTTTAAAATTTACCTCATCGCTCGTCGCCATCAAAGACAGATTCAGCATCAACATCAACATCAGCGACAAGTGAGCAATGAAAACATTGTTCGTGTAACAAGGTTTAAGAAAACTGCTCTTAACACTTTTCTCGTGTATAAATTTATCTGTTGTTACATGCCTTACAGTTTCGTTGCTCTATACGGTGGTTCCCCAATAGTTGGTTTCGCAACTGTCACACTAGTGTTCCTCAATTCGTCTCTAAATCCTTTATTGTACTGTTGGCGAGATCACGAAATTCGTACAGCCGTGAAACAACTGTTTTGCCGTTGATGTATTTCATTTCACGTTTAGGTTTCCCTGCTTTCAGTATATTTGCTTTCTGCCCTGACAGTAATTCACTATCGGGGAAAGTCCTTCAATTTTTATCGACGAGAATGATTTGCATTGACCCATGAGCGTCTGCGATCTTTGCATTTCTTCCACCTTTCATTGTTGAATTATAGAAATAGATACAAGATGTGTAACTGTGGCTACTGCACTCTTACATGTAAAGAGGTTATACACAAGTTTTATGTCGCACCGAGTCATTTGAATGTCTCAGGTTTCTTTTGGCAAGTAGGAGTACTTTTAAAGTAGGCTAAGAGAATAACTGAGTTCTAAATACAAGACCCGAGTGCGGTAGCACCATTGTAATTTAGATGAAAGGTATAAATAATTTAATCATTGTTAGTGTGAAATAATTAAAAAGTTAATCAACTTCAGTGAAGATAAATAATGTAAATACAATCTAGTTTTTCCATTTCATTAAACAAATGCAAGAAAACAACGGTCACGCAATAATGTTAATTACTGTTGAAAATAATAGAAGACACAAACAAAATCACGGTTCACGATGAATTAAATACTTCTTTCTCATTTCACGGAGAATTATTTCGGAAAATCACGGTTCACGTCTACTAATGAAATCACGATTCACGAGAAAAAAATACAAGCCATTTCACATTTCACCGGAAAAAAATAAGACCATTCACGAATCACGAAAATACCTTTACCAGCCTCTTCAACTGAAGCCCCACTAAGATAACCCAGGATGAGCGAGAATTCCTCAAAGCCAACAGTTTTGCTCGAGCTACGTTCTTGGAAAACTGTTCGCTTCTCAAAACAGATAATGTCCGCGGACAAATATCCGGGCATATTTTCTAGGAAAATGGAGACTATTGTTTATACACAACAGGGAAACAAGTCCACACACTATGCATGAAATTTGAATGCACGAGACTTCCAGTTTCTACATAAAAGCGCATTACAGGGTGTGCGAAAATGACAGGTGTTTGAAAAGACAGAATCCCGTTAAATATTTCCACTGCTATTCAAACCATTGTTAGTGCGGAAATAAATGAAAAGTTAATTAACTTCAGTGAAGTTTAATAATGTGAATCTAATCTAGCCTTTTCGATTTCATCAAACAAAAGCAAGAAAACAACGAAAGCAGCAATAACCAGCTTCATGAGGTGTCTTGGAAGAAAACACGGTCAAATCAACCATGAAATTCAACTTTCCTCGACCTTTTAATAACACTGAAAAGAACAACTCTCACTCTGTTCAATTTGAACTAGATTTTGACCAAGCTATGGCTTTCAGGATCGCAATCAGCGTTGTCAATGCTTTTTTCTCCTTTACAGCGCTGTTGGGAAACGCTGCGATTCTGCTAACGATTTGGAGGACATCTTCTTTACATTCAGCGCCGAACATCTTACTGACCAGTCTTGCTGTATCGGACCTCGCTGTTGGCTTGCTTGTCCAGCCCTTATTTATAGCATTCACTCAAAGTGGCCGAATATCTACTATAGTTCTAGTTTTTAGTATTCTGGTGTATTTTTTCTGTTGTGCGTCTTTTTTCACGGTTACAGCGATTTCAATCGATCGTTTGCTTGTCCTTCAGTTACACTTGAGATATCATGAAGTAGTGACAACATTTCGTGTCAATGGGGTCGTTATTTTTATTTGGATATTCTCCGGTGTTAGTACGCTTGTGTTACATTTATCCTCAAGAATTTACATTGTCTCACTTGTTATGGTTATCAGCCTTCTTGCTGGAAACTTCGTTGTTTATTTCAAAATTTACCTCATCGCTCGTCGCCATCAAAGACAGATTCAGCATCATTATCAGCATCAGCGACAGGCGAGCAATGAAAACATTGTTCGCGTAACAAGGTTTAAGAAAACTGCTCTTAACACTTTTCTCGTGTATATTTTACTTCTCTGTTGTTACTTGCCTTACAGTTTCGTTACTTTATACGGTACGATTTCTCTAATAGTTGATTTCACAGCAGTAACACTAGTGTTCCTTAATTCGTCTCTAAACCCTTTATTGTACTGTTGGCGAGATCGCGAAATTCGCACAGCCGTGAAACAACTGTTTTGCCGTTAATGTATTTTATTTCACGTTTAGGTTTCCCTGCTTTCAATATATTTGTGTCTAATTATTATTAGCTATTTTTGCCGGCCTTACGCTATGTTTCCTTTCTACCCTGACAGTAATTCACTATCAGGAAAAGTTATTTAATTCTTATCGACGAGAATGATTTGCATTGGCTCGTTAGCGTCCGCGATCTTTGCATTTCTTTCACCTTTCCTTGTTGAATAATAGAAATAGGTACAAGATGTGTAACTGTGGCTGCTACTGTCTTACATGTAAAGAGGTTATACACAAGTTTTATGTCGCACCAAGTTATTTGAATGTCTGTCTCTTTTGGCAAGTGGGAGTACTTTTAAAGTACGCTAAGATAATTATTGAGTTCTAAATACAAGACCCGAGCGCGATAACACCTTTGTAATTTAGATGAAAGACGTAAATAATTTAATCATTGTTAGTGCGAAAACAATTAAAAAGTTAATCAACTTCAGTGAAGATAAATAATGTAAATCCAATCTAGTTTTTCGATTTCATCAAAAAAAAGCAATAAAACAGCCAAAGCAGCAGTAACTTCATGAGGTGCCTTGAATAAAAGAAAGGTCAAATCAACCATGGAAATCAACCGTTCTCGACCTTTAAATAACACTGAAAAGAACGACTCTCACTTTGTCCAATTTGAACCAGATGGAAATTTTAACCGAGCTATAGCTTTCGGGATCGCAGTCTGCGTTATTAACGCTTTCCTCTCCTTCACAGCGCTTTTGGGAAACCCTGCGATGCTGCTAACAATTTGGAAGACATCTTCTTTACATTCAGCGGCGAACATCTTACTGACAAGTCTTGCTGTATCGGATTTCGCCGTTGGCTTGCTCATCCAGCCCATATTTATAGCATTCATTCAAAGTGGAATATCTACTATAGGTCTAGTTTTTAGTATTCTGGTGTATTTTTTCTGCTGTGCGTCTTTTTTCACGGTTACAGCGATTACAACGATCGTTTGCTTGTCCTTCAGTTACACTTGAGATATCATGCAGTAGTGACAACATTTCGTGTCAATGGGGTCGTTTTTTTTATTTGGATATTCTCCGGTGTTAGTACGCTTGTGTTACATTTATCCTCAACAATTTACATTGTCTCACTTGTTATGGTTATCAGCCTTCTTGCTGGAAACTTCGTTGTTTATTTTAAAATTTACCTCATCGCCCATCGCCATCAAAGACAGATTCAGTATCAACATCAACATCAGCGACAGGCGAGCAATGAAAACATTTTTCGCGTAACTAGGTTTAAGAAAACTGCTCTTAACACTTTTCTCGTGTATATTTTACTTCTCTGTTGTTACATGCCTTACAGTTTTGTTTCTCTATACGGTGGTTCCCCAATAGTTGGTTTCGCAACTGTCACACTAGTGTTCCTCAATTCGTCTCTAAACCCTTTGTTGTACTGTTGGCGAGATCGCGAAATTCGCACAGCCGTGAAACAACTGTTTTGCCGTTGATGCATTTTATTTCAGGTTTGGACTTTCCTGCTGACAATCTCAGTGCCTTTTGATATGTTTTCTTTTTACCCTGACAATAATTCACTGTCGGGGAAAGTTATTTTTGATTTCTTATCGCGACGATCATGATTTGCACGCCAAATAAACGTCTGGAAGTTTAGCATTTCTTTCACCTTTTTGAATTATTAAAATAGGCACAAGATGTGTAACTGTGGCTACTCCTGTCTTATACGCAAAGAGGTGGTCCAAAAGTTTCATGCCGCGCCGAGTCGTTTAAATGTCTGTTTGTCTTGGCAAGTATTAGTACTTTTAACGTAAGCTAAGAGAATTATTGATTTCTAAATACAAGACCCGAGCGCGTTGACACCATTGTAATTCAGATAAAAGATCTAAACAGTCAAGAACCGCTAAACGCGGGAAGTGTAAGTTATAATTTGTAATGGCAATGAATAAAATTGTAAACTGTAAATATGCACTGCATTCATAAAAAGTCAGTTCTTACACCGTTCAATCAGTGACTATATATATTGCTCCGGATATACTGACGGATGTTCTGTCAGGAAGCAAATTAACTTGGAAGAAAGATAATTAATCTTATGTGAAATCAGAATAAGGTAAAGAGGGAACTTATGAAAATGTTAATAGTTTTGAATAAATACCTAGAACTGCTTTCCCGTCTAGTATATTCTCTTTTAATGAATGTTGATGTTATTTCTTTTGATTAGTGGACAATTTATAACACCCATGCATGTAATATGTAATATAATGTTTAACAGTGGGATTCCCATCATATGAGAAAGGAAAATGACAAGCTGGTGTACATGCGCTGCACAAAATCTCAAAAGAACACTTATTTTCTGAAAAGGTAAATATTTCATCTCCCATTGACATCCTGTTGTTGGCAATTATGAAATAAATTACTAATAATATAAAACTTTATTAAAAAGTTCAAGAGGACAGCAACTAACTTAGCAATCTGATCAGTTCTTTGAATGCAAGAAAGCCCGAATCAGCTATGGAGGTTTTCAACTCAACTCAGCCTCAAAATAATTTTGGCAAGAACAACTATGGTAGAATTTTGTTTGAACTCAGTTATTCTAAGCAAGATCTAAATGACTCGATTGCAATCTGCGTAATCCACGCTATTCTCTGCTTTACGGCGTTGCTCGGAAACACTGCCATTGTGATAACAATTTGGAAGACATCCTCTTTGCATTCGGCGACGAATATCTTACTGGCAAGTCTTGCTATCTCAGACCTTGCTGTTGGATTGCTTGAAGAGCCATTGTTTATAGCATACTTGCTCAGCGGAACATATAGTGTTGGCCTACTTTTTCACGTTTCCGCCTCCATTTTTTGTTCCAGTTCTTTTTTCACTATTACAGCAATTGCAGTCGACCGCTTGCTTGCTCTTCAGTTACATTTAAGATATCACAGCGTAGTAACACGTTCTCGTATCATTTTGTTAGTGAGTTTTATCTGGATCTTCTGTATTATTTTTCAAGCGGGAATCTGGGCTTCAAACCTACCTTATATCAGTGACATTCTCGCCTCTGCTGTTATCACCTGTGTGCTCTCTGCGAACTTTGTGATTTATTTCAAAATCAATCTAGTTATCCGTCATCATCAAAGACAGATTCAACATCAACAACCAGAAGCAAATAATGGAAACATTTTCAGTGTGAAAAGATTTAGAAAATCTGCTTTAAACTCCTTTCTTATATACATTGTTCTTCTCCTTTGCAACATGCCTCATTCAGTTGCCATCATAATGCATCTAACGGGGGTAACCACACCACCAGGTTTTTATATGGCAATAATTACGTTAATTTCCCTTAATTCATCTCTGAACCCTTTTTTGTTCTGCTGGCGGGATCGTGAAATCCGCGCAGCCATGAGGCAACTGTTCTGCCGAGGATTGTAACGCAACTTTTTGACGAATCACATCCCTGGAAGGATTTCGATTTTTCTTGAGAAGCCTAAGATAGAATTCGTTCTCGGGTTTACTGGCGGTAATAAGGTGTTATCAAACCAGTTTTATTGTTTGGTGCGGGTTATAAGCCCGGCAGGGGAACTCCTATATGAAAAGGNTTGAAGTCATTTACGATGTGTAATTTGCATTGGTGTTACAATTTTTGCCCTGGCGTTACACTTGAACTGTACTGCTCTCAGCCAATCAGAATCGAGTAAATTTTTTAATGTATATTATTACTACAGTTAGAAAACTTTTCTCTGTAATTAGCGGTGCCTATTCAGATAGTTATGTGCTTGCTATCTTTGTCACACTGGAATTCGATCATGTGATTCACGTCGCCTACTTGCTAGATTGCCATTTTACAGGTATGTGCTTAGTCACCTGGCCTATGAATGCAAGTGAGGCTGGAGGTGACCTTGCTTTCATACAGACCTCTCTGCTTTTCTTATTTTAATTCAAACTAGTTGACATAAGAATAACTTGATTTACACGACTAAAGCAGTGAAGTCTGTATCAAAACGAGCGCACCTCCAGCCTTGCTGCCAGTCAAAGGCCAGGTCACTGAGCAAACAACTGTAAATGGTCTATTGATGGTTTTGTTTCAGCCATTTAATAGACACTTGTTGTTTTGTTATTTTCAAGCTAAATATGTAATGCCACCATTCAATTCCAAAAGGAAACACGAAAAATTAGTCAGTGCAGGTCGTGTTCACCAGAGTACGTTGAACCTGGTCATTTCACGTTATTGTTTTGGAGAGGACGGCAAAGAAATGTACAAAGATTTATAACACACGTGCACAGCCATTGTTCTACTCATTAAACCTTTTGTTTAATGGCGTTTTCGTTGCCGTTGGCGTCGTGGTCTGCTTAAGCTCCCTGTTTGCTTCGCCAAGGCTGACGGATTTAGACCAGGCGAAAGACAAACCAAGAAGAGATAACTTTGTATAGAAGGCATAGAAAGGAGATATCCTCAAAAGACGCCGTCATGGTAGCAAAGATATCAGTGACACCACCTATTGTTATTAATATGCCAACCAGAGAACTATTGGCTGGTGAAACAAAGAATTCTTTTGTTTGACGTTTTGAACATTTAAATGACAAAAAAAATGTTTGAAAAAAAATATATTTCCTATAGGAAAAGAACCTCAGTGACCAAGCATTGAATCCTTTGGTTTCAACAGGCAAATAGCGCAGTTTGGCTTTGCAGTTATGATGTAAGATAACGATTGAAATAGTACTTTGGAGAGATTTTAATATTTTTTCCTCCCTAGATTTTGCATTTGTATCTCTCCAATGCCCTTACATTGACGCTGAGATCAGATGAATGAACAAACAAGGTACGAAATCGACATTTATTACGTTGTTGTTGGGTTCGTTTATCATGAATATGTAAATTAACTAAGAATAATTCTCCTCACGTGAAATTTATATATTTGAATTGAACTGCGGAATAAAAATTTGTTAATGTATAAATCTTTATTCCGCAGTTCAAATTATACTCGACTGATCGGATCTTGCCTGATCCAAACCTCGTATCAAATAATTTCGCTCGCTCGTGCGCGATTGATCTAAACGCGTCACGTGACTAAATATGCCCCAGCTAAAACTGAGGAATATTCAAGTGATATTCTCCAATTTTCAAAAATTGCCCTTGTTCAAGAAATATTTCAAGGATAACATAAACGTAAACATAATAGCCTCCATTTGGCGCGAAAAAAGTTCGCGATATTTGTCCTAACCTTGGACATTATTTGTTCCTCGAAGTTCACAGTTTCCCTCGAGCTACGTTCTCGGAAAACTGTTCGCTTCTCAAAACAGATAGTGCCTGCGGACAAATATCCGAGCGTATTTTCCAGGAAAATGGAGGCTATTGTTTCTACACAACAGGGAAACTAGTGAACACACCATACATGAGATTTGAATGAGACTTCCAGTTTCTTCATAAAACCTCACAACAGGGCGAGCGAAAAACGACAGGTGTGTAACCAGACAGGATCCCGTAAAATATTTCCACTGCTATTGAAATCATTGTTAGCGGGGAAATAATCAGAAAGTCAATTAACTTCAGTGAAGATTGATTCATAATGTAAACCTAATCTAGCTTTTTCGATTTCATCAAACAAAAGCAATAAGACAAGGAAAGCAGCATTAAACAGCTTCATGAGGTGTCTTGGATGAAAACACGGTCAAATCAACCATGAAATTCAACTTTTCTCGACCTTTTAACAACACTGAAAAGAACAACTCTCACTCTGTTCAATTTGAACCAGATGAAAATTTTGACCAAGCTATGGCTTTCAGGATCGCAGTCAGCGTCGTCAATGCTTTTTCCTCCTTCACAGCGCTGTTAGGAAACTGTGTGATTCTAGTGACAATTTGGAAGACATCTTCTTTACATTCAGCGGCGAACATCCTACTGACCAGTCTTGCGGTATCGGACCTCGCTGTTGGCTTGCTCATCCAGCCCTTATTCGTTATAACAGTCATTCAAAGTGGAGCATCTACTTTCATTCTAGTTTTTAGTATTCTAGTGATTTTTTTCTATTGTGCGTCTTTTCTCACGGTTACAGCGATTTCAATCGATCGTTTGCTTGTCCTTCAGTTACACTTGAGATATCATGCAGTAGTGACAACATTTCGTGTCAATGGGGTCGTTATTTTTATTTGGATATTCTCCGGTGTTAGTACGCTTGTGTTACATTTATCCTCAACAATTTACATTGTCTCACTTGTTATGGTTATCAGCCTTCTTGCTGGAAACTTCGTTGTTTATTTTAAAATTTACCTCATCGCCCATCGCCATCAAAGACAGATTCAGTATCAACATCAACATCAGCGACAGGCGAGCAATGAAAACATTTTTCGCGTAACTAGGTTTAAGAAAACTGCTCTTAACACTTTTCTCGTGTATATTTTACTTCTCTGTTGTTACATGCCTTACAGTTTTGTTTCTCTATACGGTGGTTCCCCAATAGTTGGTTTCGCAACTGTCACACTAGTGTTCCTCAATTCGTCTCTAAACCCTTTGTTGTACTGTTGGCGAGATCGCGAAATTCGCACAGCCGTGAAACAACTGTTTTGCCGTTGATGCATTTTATTTCAGGTTTGGACTTTCCTGCTGACAATCTCAGTGCCTTTTGATATGTTTTCTTTTTACCCTGACAATAATTCACTGTCGGGGAAAGTTATTTTTGATTTCTTATCGCGACGATCATGATTTGCACGCCAAATAAACGTCTGGAAGTTTAGCATTTCTTTCACCTTTTTGAATTATTAAAATAGGCACAAGATGTGTAACTGTGGCTACTCCTGTCTTATACGCAAAGAGGTGGTCCAAAAGTTTCATGCCGCGCCGAGTCGTTTAAATGTCTGTTTGTCTTGGCAAGTATTAGTACTTTTAACGTAAGCTAAGAGAATTATTGATTTCTAAATACAAGACCCGAGCGCGTTGACACCATTGTAATTCAGATAAAAGATCTAAACAGTCAAGAACCGCTAAACGCGGGAAGTGTAAGTTATAATTTGTAATGGCAATGAATAAAATTGTAAACTGTAAATATGCACTGCATTCATAAAAAGTCAGTTCTTACACCGTTCAATCAGTGACTATATATATTGCTCCGGATATACTGACGGATGTTCTGTCAGGAAGCAAATTAACTTGGAAGAAAGATAATTAATCTTATGTGAAATCAGAATAAGGTAAAGAGGGAACTTATGAAAATGTTAATAGTTTTGAATAAATACCTAGAACTGCTTTCCCGTCTAGTATATTCTCTTTTAATGAATGTTGATGTTATTTCTTTTGATTAGTGGACAATTTATAACACCCATGCATGTAATATGTAATATAATGTTTAACAGTGGGATTCCCATCATATGAGAAAGGAAAATGACAAGCTGGTGTACATGCGCTGCACAAAATCTCAAAAGAACACTTATTTTCTGAAAAGGTAAATATTTCATCTCCCATTGACATCCTGTTGTTGGCAATTATGAAATAAATTACTAATAATATAAAACTTTATTAAAAAGTTCAAGAGGACAGCAACTAACTTAGCAATCTGATCAGTTCTTTGAATGCAAGAAAGCCCGAATCAGCTATGGAGGTTTTCAACTCAACTCAGCCTCAAAATAATTTTGGCAAGAACAACTATGGTAGAATTTTGTTTGAACTCAGTTATTCTAAGCAAGATCTAAATGACTCGATTGCAATCTGCGTAATCCACGCTATTCTCTGCTTTACGGCGTTGCTCGGAAACACTGCCATTGTGATAACAATTTGGAAGACATCCTCTTTGCATTCGGCGACGAATATCTTACTGGCAAGTCTTGCTATCTCAGACCTTGCTGTTGGATTGCTTGAAGAGCCATTGTTTATAGCATACTTGCTCAGCGGAACATATAGTGTTGGCCTACTTTTTCACGTTTCCGCCTCCATTTTTTGTTCCAGTTCTTTTTTCACTATTACAGCAATTGCAGTCGACCGCTTGCTTGCTCTTCAGTTACATTTAAGATATCACAGCGTAGTAACACGTTCTCGTATCATTTTGTTAGTGAGTTTTATCTGGATCTTCTGTATTATTTTTCAAGCGGGAATCTGGGCTTCAAACCTACCTTATATCAGTGACATTCTCGCCTCTGCTGTTATCACCTGTGTGCTCTCTGCGAACTTTGTGATTTATTTCAAAATCAATCTAGTTATCCGTCATCATCAAAGACAGATTCAACATCAACAACCAGAAGCAAATAATGGAAACATTTTCAGTGTGAAAAGATTTAGAAAATCTGCTTTAAACTCCTTTCTTATATACATTGTTCTTCTCCTTTGCAACATGCCTCATTCAGTTGCCATCATAATGCATCTAACGGGGGTAACCACACCACCAGGTTTTTATATGGCAATAATTACGTTAATTTCCCTTAATTCATCTCTGAACCCTTTTTTGTTCTGCTGGCGGGATCGTGAAATCCGCGCAGCCATGAGGCAACTGTTCTGCCGAGGATTGTAACGCAACTTTTTGACGAATCACATCCCTGGAAGGATTTCGATTTTTCTTGAGAAGCCTAAGATAGAATTCGTTCTCGGGTTTACTGGCGGTAATAAGGTGTTATCAAACCAGTTTTATTGTTTGGTGCGGGTTATAAGCCCGGCAGGGGAACTCCTATATGAAAAGGACGGGGTGGGGGGGGNGGCTCGTCGTACCTTTTAGGGGTTAAAAAAGCGGTTTTGGTAGGTCTTAGAGTGCTCAGCCTCAAAAGGTCCACAGCGGGAGCTTTTGCCGTACTTTTTAGGGTATTGAGCTCAAAAAAAGGCAATGTCAGTTAAGATAATGTGTTGTTTAAGAATTGGTACCCCTATGAAGGGGTGGAAAGCATTTCAAGCCACACCAACAATACAGTATCTTGAAACCTCTTAGGGGTTCTTTTCAAAATTTCCGACGAGCGCTCCCGTACGTCGTTTCGATATGGGAGTTTCCTCCGGGGTTAAAAGTTTCTCAAACATAATTAATAACAGTAACAACAAGGAGAAGCAGGACATTAGGCTATCTCCTTTTAGAAATATGTCATCCCAAGTCGCTTATTATTATCCCTATTACATCACTATTTTATTGTAATTTATTAAAATTTCACGGGTCAATGGAAAACTCACTGAACTGTGATAATAAAACTCGTGGATAAAAAAAAATATATTTATTCCTACAATGGCTTAGCGAGTCAAACAAAGGAAATACTAACCGTGAAGTAGGCTTAAATGTCTGGCCGTACCGTAATTATCTCGGTTTCCACTATAACTTTAAATGTAATTGACCGATGAGTCTTGTTAACCAGTATTGAAAATATGTGATGACTTCATTTGAAAGTTCTATATCGGATGGAAAAAAGCTCCAAAATTTTTCATCCCGTAATGCTTACGGAAGCCATGTTCTCTAACCCGGGACTTAAATAGAAAATTATTCATTTACATAGTCTGTTGCTCGGAGCTTGAGTTATTAATGAACCGTGGTACAAGTGGCAAATGGTGATCTGTCTTCGATACGGAGCCATCAAAGTGAGTTGAGACTATTTTTCTCGCCAAGATTTGGACCAAATTTCTGATGTTCGTCGTTTGCAGTTCACCTCAAGCTTCAGATTCTCTCAGGGGGGTACTATTCAAAAAGCGTTACGTGGAGGCTTTGCCCCGAGGTCCCACCCCTTACCTTTTTGTAAACCATTTTGACAGAAAAGTTGCTCCTTTCCCATTCCTACTTAAGAACATTGCATCTCTTTTCTAAACCCTTGAAATGAAGTTAATGATGTCAAGCTTAATAAATTAGATGATACAGCCGTAAGGTGTGTCTGTTCGAAATATCTGAATTAAATTTCCTTTCAAATACCTAAATAACAGATTGTCCTACCCTTTCATACATCTTAACTTGTAAAATCCCTATCCTTTTATATACCTGAAGCCTGAAAAAGGTACTCCTTTCCGGCGGGGTCTCTCCATATAAGCCATTATAGGAGTACCCCCCCCCCCGGGGATTATTCGGGCCTAATGAAATAAAAAATAAAAAATAATGAAAAATATACCTTTATATACCATCGGCAGTGTTTATCTAATAATCTTCTTCGTGCCAATATTACTTCATTTTATCACCTTTCAAATAATCCTTTACCTTAATAAACTATCAGGTATTTTAGGGTTCCGCTTACTTGTAAATCACAATTTTATTATTTTTTTTGCATACTTTTTATTTATTTATTTGAATATCTCTGGAAAGAAGAGATATTTGAAATTAGTAGAATTCTGGTAGTGTACTAATGCAAATGTTGTAATCCGATTGGCTGAGCCATTGAACACTACAGCCATTAGTGTGCAGTGGCTGGAGGTCGTCTAGGAAATGGCGACGTTTGTTTCGTTTTTTCAAAGTTTTGGAGGAACATTTTGACGCAAATGGATAATTAAATTCCTGAGAAGTCTAAACGAAAGACATTTACAGTTTCTTGACTTTTTAAAAAAGTTGAAATTATTGAAAAAACTGATGCGCGCACGTACACAACTTCAATTTTAAAGAACAATTCAATCCGAGCGATCTTTTTCAGGCGCAAAGTTTAATAATACGTCAAGAAATAATTGGAAAGCCTTATTTGAAGTAAATTTTGGTAAGAATTTTACTAAAACAATTACATTATTCGCTCTCAATTTCTATGAGGTGATAGTTGATTCGGCCTTCGGCCTCATCAGCTATCACCTCATAGAAATCTCGAGCTCGTAATCTTATGTAATATATCAAACACGAGAGACAGTGTTATATCGGGATATCCAAACACCGAGAAGAGAGTTGAAAATACGACNTGGCATACTGAAGCAATGCTAACTTAGGTACAATTAGATGGCAATGGTTTCCAGTGATGTCCAGGTAAAAGTTACACAGTTATGCGTAAGTACTGCTACTGTTTACCAGTCAATTCAAAGTCAGTTTAACATGGATAGTCAAACAATATACTGGATGACTATAGTGTCGCAAAGGTAACAGTAAATGGCCACAACAGCACGATAAGGTAAGGTATCAGCTGAGTTTGCTTGTGACAACCATACATATTGGCCTGCACTGGTATTGATTGATATATCAACCAATACTCAACCCATGTATCGATCAAATATCAGACAATAATTACTATTAACTGATATTGATACTATCATTAATTTATTTTATTATGTGGCTGTGTCTCACAAGGACTGGGAACTACCAATTTCAGGAATTGGATTGGCCAAAATCAATATTGAAAGCGGTCTAGATTTTCCCATCTAGAATGGCATCTAGACCGGTAATGTTTTGCGGTGAAAAAGTTGCAAACTAAAATACAAAAATATTGGCTATTTTCTTATGGGAGAATTAATTTCAGCTCGTCGTCATTCACAAGCAAAATGTCAGCTACATTAAACAAACTAAATTGTTCTTGTTTGCCACATAATAAACATCTTATTAACCGAGCTTGGACTGTATGGGAGAATCTTGACCTCACTCGTGTGCAGACTTCACTGTGTTCGGTCTGTACTCATGACGTCAGTCTAGATTCTCCCATATAGACCTCCTGCTCGGTTAATAAGAGCTAAATATCAAACAATCACTGTCAGTGTCTGTTCTTCTTTGCTACATGACTGCAAAATCACTTGACTTAGATTTGAGAATGAGAGTGATACATGATATTATAGCTTGCTTTTCTGAAATATACTTTTCATTGCCATTCTCAGGATGATTTGATAGTGATACTTTGATATCTCAATTTACCACTTTTTTGGCAGCTATCATGATAATCTCATATGATAATGATATTTTGATATTTGACATGCACATTGTGATAAAAACGATTTCTCCATATTATTCTATTATTACCAAAATATCAATAAAATATCATTTTTCAAACTAATGATATTCTATCAAGATATTTTGATAAACCGCAATCCTACACCTCAGTGACCAATGGATTCTTTCCAAGTACAAATGCCAGTAAATTTTCCACAAGCTTTCGAGTACTGTAAATGAATTTGTGCCCACCTTGGTACTATCATGATAAAAAGTCTGCTTCAGTTGTGAAGGAAAAGGAGGGAGGGTATTTCTCTCTTCTCCCCCGCCCCCCCTCCCTTCGTCGTCTCTTCATATTTGAGAGAGGGGGACTTCATGATCATGGGGAGATTCTGGTACTTTTGTATCAGTAATTCTGCTACCCAGGCCTTAGAAACCTCTCACCGTCTTGCAGCATTCCGCCCAAAGGATGATTGCGTAAACGAAAACAGCATTTTGTCGGCGTTGGATTGAGATTCTTACCTGGATTTCTTGACCATCCTCCCTTCGTTCAATTTCGTAAACTTGCATCTCTTGAACGCCGACTTCCGATAAAATCCTCTTCGCCAGAATTGAAAAAGGACAGGCTGTTTTTGAAAAAACTACAACGTTGTGGTCTTTAATCGCCTTTTCTATGAATGCCCGGGCTGTCCGGACCGCCGACATACTTCACATCCTCAACACTAAGCCGCCATTTTAAATTCTACCCAGCAAAAGTAGCGCCCTACTCTTGCACCCAGACCTCGCTCACACTGATAGGGACTTTGTGGAGCTGAAAACGCCTAGGAACGGATCCCTAGGGAAAGAGGTAACCAGTCGCCTGTAGATACCTAAACCCCTACATCAAATTAAAGCTTATAGAGCTGGCTATCAAACTACACCAAGAATTTTGAAATAAAAGGAATTACTGATTTTTTTCACGACCACTCAATGCGAACGTCATAATCACCTTTTGGAAGCTACAAGTCAAAGCGAATTTTGGTTTTCGCCAATTTATTTTTTTCTTCCATTTCAGGACAAAAAGCACTAAAAAGGCGTGTCTGCGTTTTGCCATATTCAATTGCAGTAAAAAGTTACAGAATATTTTCGAAATAGGATTGAAAGAATGTGAGGTGATCCTACAAAAATCGCTCTCAGAGAAAGAATATTTCGAAATAAACAATCCGCAGACATTGGTTTGTTTTCTATATGTTAATCTAGCTACTGTCCAAACTTGAGGGCAATCGAACAAATTCCCTTTGATTTGTAACTCTTTAAAAAGTCTGCTTCAAGCGAAAAAATTTATTAGAGGAAATAGCGCTGAGAAAAATATCTTGCTTCGCAAACACACTCGGCCCACAAAACACCTTCAACTGGGTTCTCAGATCACTGAGCCAATCAGCGCTTGGAAAGTTTATTACTATTAACCTCGCTCCCCGAGGTGAAATTTACTCGCGAATCTCCGAAAAACCCTTGCGTTTCGCAATGCGCTCAAGGCGGAGAGATAATTTTTCCGTAGTTCGGTTTTTCTTGAAGCTGATTAGGCAAAATACGGACGACGAAAAAAAAAAACGAACGCTAGAGTGGCTGGGCGAAGAAAACAAACAAAAGAAAGCGCGGCGGCGCAAATGTGCATGGATAATATTCCAATGGATCTCAATGAGTCCGACGATTCATCGGTATCAGACTCCACAAAAGAGTCGCTGTAAACATCGCTGTTATCGCTGTCAAGTTCCCAAATTTTTACAGAACCTTTCTCGATCTTTTTGCCCGCTTGATACGAAAGCTAGAGCTTCATCCGCGAGGCCAACTTTCGCTTCTTCACTCATTGATGTATTTTTATTAGTTTTTCGCTTTTACGTGGTCCATGTTTACTTACAACTTACTTGAATTATAGGGGAAATGCTTGGATTAACAATGCTGATCAACTGAGTAGCCAGCCAATTCGTGGTATCCGTATAGGTAATATTCCCGCGAAAGTAATGTCGGTTGATTGCATACACGAGTAATATATAAGGCTGTTAATCAAGAGGAAACTTTTACTTCCGGCCATAACGTAAAAGCTCCATTTCTCCGCCAATATTAAGTTTTTTCCATTTTTGTTTTCAGAAATTAGAAATTACTCTTCGACCATTACTTTGAAGAAAATTGTCGATCTGAATGTATACGGTAACCCTTAAGACGATTAAGAAATTAAAAAAAAAAACGGTTAAAAAATATACGACGTTTCGACATTCTCGGACGTCATTATCAAGTGAAAAAAACAGTATGGATATTCTATAAATACAAGAAAAAACAATAGTTCATTAAAAAGAAAGGTAACATAAAAATATGCTACAAGCTAAACAACGAGTTTAGCACTGATGGAGTCACTCTGAGTGTTAAGTCTAGGCCTCGGTAGTCAAATTTCCCAAGGCACTTCTTGAGAACACGAAATTGGCCCTCATTAAGAATATTTTTTTCACCGTGCACTTCTAAAAGGTGTTCACCGATAGCTGAATACTTGTGTTCGGCAATGCATTGATGAAAGTGTCGGGCTGTATAACCAGCATAATCTGTATTACACAGATCACATGCAAATTAATAAACAACGCAATGCTAACTTACAATATTCGGCTTAAATTCTTAAATGTTTTTAAGAAAAGTTTTTTCGCAATTTTTTATAGCTAAATGTTTTAAAACGTCGCTTCTTTTTGATCCAAGATCACTCAGATCATCCATGATCCAAGTGATGTTGGATCTTGGATCCGAGTGATTCTGATCCAAACACAATTTGTTTCAACTGAAGTTGAAAACTTTTTAGGGCCGCCGCGGATGACATGGAGAAATTTAGCCCAGACAGAAAAGCCTTGCTCGTGTGCTTTAAGGTGTGACAACGGGTTTTTCCGCTCTGAACTCTAGCTGGGGGGAAACGGGCGTTGAGAGGCCTAACTGGCCGGACGACTGCGCTTGACTCGGGAAGTAGCTCGGAGCAACACGCTTGCTGCGGGAGAGGAACTTGTCACGGACTCCAAAGTACCGTCGGATCTGCTACAACTGAAATCAGGACACTCAGAGAACTTGGACTTCACTCGTTTATTCTTCGTACTTCGCTATACGTCTACCATTGTCTACGTTGTACAACTCTTTGATGTAAAATCGTAAATCTTGGAGATGTAAAGTCGTAAATTGACTCGTGGCTCCCGGCCAAGCCCATCTAGCAGTATGTCACCCCAGTATGTGTCGAAAGAAAACTTGAGATTCTCTCAAATACGATTAACATTACAACCAGACCGACTGCGTGTTGGACAACGCTAAATTACAATGTGCAACAGGTTTTTCCAGTTTAACTGTTTTTCCACCCGTCCACGGTCAATGCAATATGCGCGCCAACGGTTAATTGACTCAGCGGAGCTACACTCAAAGTTATTTAACTTAGTGACCCCTGTGATACTTCGAGAATCATCTAGTGTTTCANATTCGGGCCTAATGAAATAAAAAATAAAAAATAATGAAAAATATACCTTTATATACCATCGGCAGTGTTTATCTAATAATCTTCTTCGTGCCAATATTACTTCATTTTATCACCTTTCAAATAATCCTTTACCTTAATAAACTATCAGGTATTTTAGGGTTCCGCTTACTTGTAAATCACAATTTTATTATTTTTTTTGCATACTTTTTATTTATTTATTTGAATATCTCTGGAAAGAAGAGATATTTGAAATTAGTAGAATTCTGGTAGTGTACTAATGCAAATGTTGTAATCCGATTGGCTGAGCCATTGAACACTACAGCCATTAGTGTGCAGTGGCTGGAGGTCGTCTAGGAAATGGCGACGTTTGTTTCGTTTTTTCAAAGTTTTGGAGGAACATTTTGACGCAAATGGATAATTAAATTCCTGAGAAGTCTAAACGAAAGACATTTACAGTTTCTTGACTTTTTAAAAAAGTTGAAATTATTGAAAAAACTGATGCGCGCACGTACACAACTTCAATTTTAAAGAACAATTCAATCCGAGCGATCTTTTTCAGGCGCAAAGTTTAATAATACGTCAAGAAATAATTGGAAAGCCTTATTTGAAGTAAATTTTGGTAAGAATTTTACTAAAACAATTACATTATTCGCTCTCAATTTCTATGAGGTGATAGTTGATTCGGCCTTCGGCCTCATCAGCTATCACCTCATAGAAATCTCGAGCTCGTAATCTTATGTAATATATCAAACACGAGAGACAGTGTTWRATCGGGATATCCAAACACCGAGAAGAGAGTTGAAAATACGACGCGCAGCGGAGTATTTTTGACGAAATTCGAGGTGTTTGGATAGCCGATGAAACACTGTCTCGAGTGTTTGATATGTCTTCTCAATCGAAAGAAAAACTAAGGAGAAAATGGAGAAGTAAAATCGTCAAATCAAAATCTATGCTAATTAAGACCGGCTGTCCAAAGCTCCTTCACGATTGTGATTTTCTTTGTTTTAACTTGATGAATTGTTGATGAGTTTGAGAATGCTGAATAGTAAACAGCATTTCCCTTCTCGTACAGACTACTTGCTTAATTTTATGTTTTAAAACGGCTGAAATGGGACAGATGCAAATTTTATCATCATAGCAACACCTTCAGGAAAAGCCCTACTTCAGATTTCGTATACACGGAAACGCATAAAATCAACGGCAAAACAGTTGTTTCACGGCTGTGCGAATCTGACGATCTCGCCAACAGTACAATGAAGGGTTTAGAGAAGAGTTCAAGAAAATTAATGTAAAAACTATGGCGAAAACTTTTCGTGAAATAGTTACACCTGTAAATGCTAAATAAACGATGAACGAAGAAGGCAAGTAACAAAACAGTAATAAAACGAAAACGAGAAATGTGTTCATGGCTGACTTCTTGAATCTTTTCATGCTTAAAATGTTCTCGTTGTTTGCCCCTTGTTGTTCATGCATATGTTGAATCTGTCTCTGATGGCGTCGAACGACAAGATAGATTTTCAAATAAACAAGGAAGTTTCCAACAAGAAGGCTGTTGATTGTAGCAGATATGGCAAACTGAGATAGGCTTGCAATCCAATGTTTCGTACTTGCAAGAATGCCAGCAGATACCCAGATAAAAATAACTAGCCATGTCACACGAAATGGCGTCACTACTGCATGATATCTCAAGTGTAACTGAAGAGCGAGCAATCGATCCACTGCAATTGCTGTGATAGTGAAGAAAGACGCGATGGTCAGAAAGGGACCTAAAATGATAACAGCGAAATGAAAAGCGTATATCCGGCTTATTGTGTTTGTTATGTCGAAAGGCTGAACGAGAAGACCAACGGCGAGGTCCGATACAGCAAGACTTGCTAGTAAGATATTCGCCGCTGAATGTAAAGAAGATGTATTCCAGAATGTTATCAGAATTGCAGAGTTTCCCAACATAGCAGTAAGGGAAAGAAAAGCGTTTATGACGCAGATTGTGATCTTGAAATTAAGTTCTGGTTCTGGAAATCCGTCGGGATCGAACAGGTCTCCACTGGAGCTGTTCTTGTCAGAATGATTGGAAGGTAGATTGTAGTGATTTTCCATGGCTGATTCGAGCTCTGTTCTTTCTTGTCAATGTGTGACCACTTTTGCTATCTTTTTGGTCTGTCGAATAATACGAGATTAAATATGTTCATTAATTATTTATTTCATTATCGACAGCAGTGTTATGTCAATATAATAGCGAAGGAAATTTTCATATGTCCCAGTGTAAATAAGTTTGTGTTTTTTTAATTCGGTGAATACACCTGTCTTTTTGGTTTGTACTTAGAATCAAACCGAAAACCAAAGAACTGACTACGACAAAGAAAGAGTGCTTTTTCTGATGTCAGTTCCTTTTTTATTCTCGTTTTAAAGAGAAGAGGGGAAAACAGCTTATAGCTATGCCATATTTTTCTTTTGAATTGACTTTCTGTGTTTAGTTAACATTTCATATAAGATATATGACATCCCTTTTTGAATGACAAGATAATGCCTATTGGTATCGCTATTTAAATACACAATCATTATTGCAGAACTGTATTTTAATCAAAAACATGACGCATAACAATTCCATGCTATTTTTTGATTTTTTTTTTAGAGACCATTGTGTCACCTCCGAACCGCTTGCAATTAAAGCTTCAGTGCCGGTGCGCATGCATTAGTATGTACCGTGTCAACTAGTAACGATTTTTTGTTGATGCGCTTGTAGTTTTGTGCACACTTGTGAACAAAACGGCAGCTTGTCAATCGGAGAGAAATGAACCATGCCCTCTAAGCTCCTGTACGCCCTGCAAAAAAGCCAGCCCTCAATCAAATTAAAAAATATACACAAAAATTGTAGATAGATGAAAAGTGGGGCAAACATTAGCAGTTCTAAGTCGAGAATGGCGATTCACTTGTAAGGGATGAAATTTGGTCTGCAACGGTTCTTCTACTTAATCCTGAAACTTTCTGAATCAATATTTTCTAAAAACAGCAATTTTATTGAGAATACCCTGGAGTCAATTAAGATATGTACAAATCTTTTCTTCACTACATGTTCATTTTTCGCTTTTTTGTGTGATCATTTTTAGTTGTTTTTTTTTTTCATGGAAATGTCTGCCAGTTTGCGGTACTAAATTTGCTCGAATTGTCTTCGCAAAAACCATTTGATTTTCTGACTTTTTGAGTTGGTCTTGAAATAAGTGACCGCCACGAAAACGAAAATCACAAAATAACATCTTTTAATTCTTCTTCATTATTCATTTCACGGCCCAGATCGAAATGAAATCATACTGGAAAATGCGGCAATAGAATCAACAGCGAAACAATTGCTTCAAAGCTGTGCGTATCTCGTGATCTCGCCAGCAGTACAATAAAGGGTTTATAGTGGAATTGAGGAAAATTAAACCGATAGTTATGTGATATACTTTTGGAGAAAAGTGTAATCCTGCAATAAAGGCAATCTTGACAACCAACGAGTAAGGCATGTAACAACATACAAGAAAAATGCACACGAGAAATGTCTTTAAAGCAGTTTTCTTGAATCTTTTTACTCCGCTGAAAATGTTGTCTTGTTGCCGATGTTGATATTGAATCTGTCTCTGATGGCGTCTAATGATGCGATAGATTTTCATATAAACAAAAAAGTTTCCTGAAACAAGGCTGATGTAAATAACTGATGGAACAATGTAAAATACTTTGAGAATCCAAAGACTGGAGGTAGCAACAACACCGGAGATAAAATAAATAAAAGTAACGGTCCCAGTGACACGAAACGGCGTCACTACTGCATGGTATCTCAAATGTAACTGAAGAGCAAGCAAGCGTTCGATTCCAATTGCTGTAACGGTGAAGAAAGAAGCAATGCTAAAGAACGTACCCACATTGACATAAAGTAAGAACACAGAGAACATCCTAAATTGAACACTTGCTATGAACAGAGGCTGAACAATCAAGCCAACAGCAAGATCTGAAACAGCAAGGCTTGACAGCAAGATATTCGCCACCGAATGCAAAGAGGACGTCCTCCAAATTGTGATTAAAATCGCTGAGTTTCCGACCAGTGTGGTACAGATTATAATCATGATGGCGGTAAACCAGATTGTGGTCATGTAACTGGCTTCGTTTTCAATGTACCTTTCAAACTCGAAAAAGCATCTGTTATAAAATTTGTCCTCGTCAGAATTGTTGGAAGGTAACGACAAATTCATCTCCATAGCTCATTTGGTTTGTGTTCCTTCATTCAAAGCTATGAAAGCATTAGTAGGCTGCAATAGTTGTCTTCTTACGGTGATCTGAAGGAGAAACAATAGTTTGGAATACAATTTTAACCTTCAATAGAGCTTTTTAATTATTTATTTACCCACTGCAGGCAAAGCAGTTTCATTAGGAGTGGAGTCTCAATTGACTTGAATTGTATTGATAACCTTTTATTAGACAGGACATTGTTCGTCATTCTTTAGATTTATTCAAGTGTGCATTTTGTCTTTTTTATAGATGCACGGCAGGAAATCATAGAAAGACTGGACTTGTGTTCTCAGAGTTAAATATTTTCAATTGTTTCTATGCCATATTCTAAACCAAATAAAAGATGGTGTTGCTATGTTTTCTAAGATGATAATACACTTTTGCCTGAGTAGGTTAACAGCGTCCCTGCGTCCACTTGCAGTTTTACTTAACTTCAATCGTGCATTATTTTCTGATAAAACGTGGAACAGTACTTTAATTTCTATGTTGTAAATTGAACAGCTCATGCGGCACAAGCGGGCAGAATGTAAGGCCAGGCACACACTATGCCGGAGGAATTGAAAACGGATTTTTCACTCTGAAAACGTATCAAATGTTTTCCGTCGACACTGCGCCGGAGAAATTTGAAAACGTAACAATCGCCGGTCATTGAGGATTTGTGTTTGAGTAAAACTCGGCCATGGAAATCACTTTATCATCACGATGTCATCGTTTTCGAAAAGGTCTGTTTTTCAAAATGTTTTCCATCCACGCTTAAACGCAAAGCCGTCGTTTTCAAATGTCTCCGATTTAAAAAGCTGCGTTTTCATGACAGACTAGTGTAGTTGGTAGGCCAAACCGGAGAAATAAACCTGCGTTTTCAAACTCCTCTGGTGTAGTGCGTATGGACGGGGCGTAAGTCACATCCGGCAAGTTGATGACGTTTAACACAGAGAAAAAGAGCAATTTTTCTTTGGCTGTCGGTATTGAAAAATAGAAAGTAGTCGGAAGCAATCAATGCTTATTTTGTGAAGCCGCTGTTAAATTCCTTTTGTATTCCATTTGCCATTAAAAGTAACATTAATTACTACCTACTTCCAATGTAATTGGATTTCTTTTAATAGCGTTTGGACATCGGTGATCTTATTTACTTATTTCTTTTATTATTTTAATTATGAAACTGAAAATCCTAATTTTTTTTTCCTTCTTGTTTATTAAATCCTTTTTTGACAACTAGCACTTACAAGTACATTACAAAGAGAATAATAACGGCATGGGCATTTCCGAAGATTCTGCAATAGTTGTGCGAAGGCCGTACAAATGTTTCCGAACATTTTCCGAAAATTTCCGAAGACAAACAAGATTTCCAACAATAAACGAAGATTGGCAAATTTGGGGGTCACCCCCAGGGGTTTTTATTTTTTTACCTGGGACAGGTGTTCACAAAACTAAACGGACAAATCATTAATTCAGGCCTCCTAAGGCCAAGTTCAGACGCCGTACTTCACATGAACCGAATCGAATGCAAAAGAGAAAAATCCTTTGTTCTCCCTCATTAGCATTCGATTCGGCTCATGTGAAGTATGGCGTTTGAACCGGGCATAAGAAGACGTTCCTATGGCTCGTCACGAAAGGTGCTTTTTGTTTGTACCTAGGAGATGCATTTTAGTGCTTCTACATTGGTCAGGGAGTCAACCAGTCCCGCAAAAATTTTAACTTTAATATTGTCAGCACAAACAATATAGGGGCACAAAAGAAATGCTTATCCTTAACAGCCTACTATTATTATTTTGACATAATCATGGCCTTCTCAAATTTTCAAGAGCTGAAGCCTGCTATAAAATGTTAGTACCAGTCTAAGCTTGAAGTCATGCCTCTTGAAATTGCCAATGAATCATGACACCTACATAATTTTGTACATTGATCCTACAGCAAGGAGTAAGCAACTGCTGAATGGTTGCTGCTTGTTGTGAAAAAGACGGCCAGCAACAAACTCAGGAAGTGCTTGCAATTTCAAATTTAGACCCAACCAATGGCTACATGCATTCCCATCATCTTGGATTTCAAAAAATTTTTCAAAGATGGTCGAACACTTCCAAAAATAATTTTAAAACATATCAGAAGAAATGTGAAGCTTAACAACTTGAACTATGATAAAACATCCTTTCGTAAATACTGTGGAGATATAAAATCACAAGACCAATTTGTTGGAAAGCCAAAAAGTTTGACCAACATGGCTTCTGGGTGACTGAATGCTGTTTTAGTGAAAAAGATTAAATTCAGCACCGGCTCTTTGAACCTCACCAAAGCTAAATAGGATTCATATACTTTCTTGGGAGTGATTTTCAAGTCTAATTTCTTGTTACAATACCAAATACAATATAAAGCATGTAAGTGCTGAGAGAAAATCATCAACTAATTGTCTTGATGTGTCACCGCATTTTCACAAAACTAAACTTTACGAAATTTATGGAGATTAATTACTGTATAGGTTTTAAGAGAATTAAAATTTTAAACTTGAGAAATATCAACAGAAGCAATACTTTCTATAATCTACAATTTCTTTTTCAGCTTTGTGAGCGAACTCCACATTGGCTGCACTTCTGCAGCAAACATCCTAACCATCCCATCACTTTCTGCGCCATAATGAAGGCTCCTGAGTTGACTGTTTTTTACATCGAGCACACTGACATGGTTTCTTATTGTGAATCAGCAAGTGCCTTTGCAATTGAAAAGCATGGTTAAAATCCTGGTCACATTTCGTACATTGATATCACTTCAAACCACTGTGTATCCTTACATGCCGTTCCAAATGCGATAACTTGTTGAAACCTTTGCCGCAGTGTGCGCATTTGTAGGGTTGAATCTTACGGTGTGTCATCAAGGTGTCTTTTCAAATCAACCGACTGGTTAAAGCGCTCGTCACATTGCTTACATTTGTGTGGGTTCTCACCAGTATGACTTTTCATGTGTCGTTTTAGTTTTGACTCATAGTCAAAATGATTATAACAAACACGGCACTTCACATTTATCTTTCGTCTCTTCCTTGTCATTGTCAATGTTACTGTTGTGTCTTGACAGTCTTTACATACAAGAAATCAAGGTCTTGAAGCTATTTTGATGAAAAAATAAGAAATGAAAGCAAAACATCAAAAATTTTATTGAAATGGCAATCAATCACTAAGACACCTCTAAAGGAGTGTTGATACCTTATCCATATCATATTACTCCGAATTCAGTCATAGAGTCCAATCAAAAAATCTAATTGATGGGTGCTTCTTTTCCCTCCAAAAAAACACCAAAGATTTGTCAAAGTTGGTTGAGGACACTTATTCACTTCTGTATTATAATAATTTATGGGTTTCATGAATTTCGCCAATTTTTTTCTCTGCAGTTCTGGCACACCCCACCAGGAAGAGGGAAGAACTTGATTTTACATAAGCATGGAAAAAAATCACTAGGTTGATTTGTTCAGGTCAGAGTTGATATCATATACTTTGACAATCCACTAACTGCTTAAACCAACCTTAATTAATAATCAAAATGTGGTTGTTTATATAAAATGTAACGTAAAATGGAGAGGGACAGACAACTTTTCAAAGATTAGCTATGTTACTCGCTCAATCCCCGCTTAGCTTACGTAATTGGGATTATGGCTGAAAACCGAGTAACTGGTGGAATTTTGTGAAAACCACTTTGGATTTGACATCAAGATCAAGATTATAGTGAGTTTAATGATAGTTGTTTGGTGATCAGGCGAAGATCCTGGCGTTCTCGTAAACACAGTAAAAAAAAAAAAAAAACGTTCTCCACCCTGGCCTGGAACCCAGTCAAGTGTAATACTGTTCCATTTCGTGCAAATTGGCGGGAAATCAAGATCTTATAACTACGACATTTATGTTACAAATTTTGCCATGTTTACACCCTTAACACAAAACAGAAAACCCTACAGTAAACAATGTTTGCTCTTTTGAGTAATAAATGAACGTGCATCACATAAGCAAAGCGATAAAGGCGTAAAATGTAGTGACAGAAATCTGAGTTCAGTTAAATTGCTCGACTACAATTCAACTGATAGCCAGATTGCAGCAGATCGCCGTACGCGTTCGATCAAATCAAGCAGACATCATAGCTAGAAATCTGCAGAAATAAGACAACTACCTGAAATACAAGTGTGATGAGTATACACTTTGATACCCTTTCGTCTTGTTACCATCTTCGTTGCTTACCCTAGTCACTCGTTACTGCTGGAAAAAACAAGACGAAACCAAGAAGACATCAGAACCACCTACAGCTTCCGCATGCCAAGCCAAAATTGATGACGTGTTCCTGAATTCCGAACTCTTATTTGGGGGAGGGGTGGGGGAAGCGCTCATAACAAAACAAATTGTTATACATAAAACGCGGACAACCGAGTGAGAGAAAAAAAAAAGGGGGGGTGGGGGCGGTGGAGAGAAAGAAATGGGAACTTGGACTATGAATATAGATGTGATATTTATTTTACTTTTTGCGTAACGTTCTACAGAAAATGTCCGTCACCTCTATCTTGTCTGCTTAATGACGATTCGTAGCCAGGAACAGTTCGTAAATTCGTCATGTTGTTCAGTATGATCAATGATACCCAAATCAGTACAAATCGGTGCAATCTTAATTTTTCCAAAACTTTCAGATCTACGTAAAGTGGCATTTGTAATAATGAAATACTGATCATGACTGATGGGCAAGAATCAGTGAGAATGTATCCAAGTTCATCATTAGCATTAAAACTTAAAGTACGATTTGCTATCGCACTGTGCAGTTTGCGGACATTTTAGCATATTCCCAATCACAAATTAACAGACCCTGCATTTTAGGTAAGTCACGCAAGCACTCATTTTGCTCAACGTGACGTAGAGTATGTCTACAAGGAAAAAGGATTAAGAGCTGGTATGGAAGAGTCGGGAAAGGGGAGCACCAATTGGCTGTCCACTGGAGCGAGTGGCGACGAATCCCTGAAGCCCTGTGTGCCACCTAGGCGATGGTTGGCCTGCAAGCAGGCACACGTTTGAGGAATGTTCCACTGTTTTGTATTATCCAATTCTGTGGTAGCCCTACCTGAATATTGACTCCCAAACCATGGGGGAAGTTGAAAACAAAGTACAATTATTTTTAAGGTAAAACAAAGCATTCCATATGCTGTGCAGAACGCGGGACGGTAAATCAAATAGCAATTGTACGCATAACGGTTCTGTGCTCTCGTAGCAGACCTTGTAGCTTGGGGCATGTGACGATTTTACCCACTACAAAAATTAAAAACAAAAATTAATATGAAAAAGAAAACCAGCGACGAAGACTTGTAATTGGGACAACTGAGGGTACTATGAAATAAGTCATTTTCAAGTTACCTTGTGCCTCTGTTTCAAAACGAGTCCTCGGCGAAAAACCCCTTTATATGAAAATGAGTTTGATGAACATATGAGGTAGCATATTTTCATATGAATGGTTTCGAACGAAGACTCAGTTTGACGCTGAGGCAAAATTGCCCATTTAGCACTGATTCAAGTTGCAACTACTGCCCGTACCAGTTTACGTAGAGATCTGTAAACAAGTTGGATCTATTAGATTTTGGTGGTCGTGCCTGTCTAAATGAGCTCAATGTAGACTAATGTAAACATAAGGGAAATTGTTCGAAAAATCCAAAGCAGATGTTACTCCACACCACGGCACTGAGGGTACGTATTTTCGAATTCTTCCAGATTTTCTCTTTTGTGTGCATTAGACTAGTTGCCACTTGTTATTTTTTATGAAATAAAGCCATGAAATATTCTTAACTAAGCTATAACTAAGTTAACATGGCGACTGCACAGCCTATCAGAGCACCGGTTGTATGACTGTCTATCTATGATTAGTATCACCCAACTAGTGGACTAATGCAAATCCTGCATTTTGATTGGCTACGCTACTAGGGGACTATTAGTAATAGTCATCGAGTAGCGAAAT